TTACGATTGAATTCAAATCAAAAAGAATTAAGAACACTATGATGGGCCTAAACGGACTTGCAGTTTCTCATATAATGATTTTTCAAAATAAGGCTTTATATGAGCGAAAATAGTCGAAAAAGTGGTCCGATCCCAATCATTTTCAATACCTTCGCCCGTGGGCCAAGATAACGTCTTATTTTTAGAAAATCCTTATTTGAAAAAATTTTATTCTCGGCAAGCAACAATGTAACCCTATATTCAATTGCCTATTATTTGTGTTTTTGTTGCGTTTAACAATTTTTTTTGAAATCGAAAATTTGACGAGGATATTAGCCTATTTTCGAGGAGTACTCAAAAATGGCAACGTCAAAGCCTCATTCTCACGAGGCACTATCAACTTAAAGAGGTTCTGTGGCTTACGGTGCAACCAGTCTAACTTGGAATCTCTTCATTTACGCGGCAATGGCTAGTGAAACACGTGGAATTTCTTAAAAGTATTGATTTTTATAGCGTTTGGCGAGTATTTAAATGAAAAAAGTTCAATTTTTGAACAGCAAAAACAACACTGTCTTAAAAAAAAAAAGTTTAGATTAACTTATCGCAAGAATTTTACATGATCCTCTACAATATGTTACTTTACAGATATTTTGAAAAATTCGAAAGAAAAAAATGGAAATTGTTATCCTGTGTATGCCGTTTTCAAAAATCGTGGTCCGAGGAAAATGCATTAAAAGTTCCAAGTGTCCTTACATCGCCAACCAGTTGTGTTCAAACAAACAATTGTTTTCTCTATTGAAAATAGTGCCATGCCCACAATCATCATTTTGTATATAGCTATTAAAGGATCGTTTAAGGCAATAAAAAGAATTGATTATTGAAAAAGTTTACAGTGGTCTTACCACTTACTCCTTCGTATATTGTTCGCTATCTGCTGTGTTGTCTGTTAGCGTCTAGGACTGTAACTAGGATGAGCACTAGCAATTAAGGCTATCGGTTTTTTTTTTAAAGATAGATTAGATAGTTTAGATATTTTATTGATAGGTATTTTCAAGGCATTCGTAGGGTTAGTTGCAGGGGCAAGGTTTCGGCTCTCACAAAGTGTATTTTTGATTATGTTTATGAATCTAATTCTTAAGGATTCACTGATTTGTTGCAATGGCATGCTCAGATTGCATTCTTGCAAATTTTTTTTGTTTCGATTTTCCCGATTTTAACGCGATGTACAGAGGGAACGAGGTAAGGATTAACATGCGAGTAGTATAGATGGCAATACTGTCGAATTTTTCATCAATTTTCTACTTAATGTTTTGCCTGATATACTTTTCGTGATCAAACAAAGGTACAGATTTGGCTGCTAGATCTGCTCGCTGATTTCCCAAGAGATCAATATAGTTTGCCATCTAAAAAATTTTAGTTTTATTTCTCTAGGCGGCAATGGTTCTCCTCACTTTGTTAATGATTTCCAAGTTGAAATTTAAAGGGATAGCTTTTAGGGCCGACAAGCTATCTGTGGTCGTAACCGTTTTAAGTTAAACTTTGCAAGCAAGGTTTGTGACGTAAACAATAAGTTTTAACGCACTTTTGTGTAGGATGTAATTAATACGGATTTGTCCTATGGCATCTCCTAATGCATACCCAGAGGGCAGCTCATCAATCTTAGAAGCATCCGTAAAGAGAAAATGCCGACCACTATTTTCCAAAAAGTGAAATTCCTCTGCGAGTAGTTCTCTGAAGACGACGCATATTCTGAGGGTGAAATATCAAAAGAGTTGACATTTTAAACAACAAAATGAAAAATAATTTGATATATATTTTGAGATATAATTAACGTGCTGTACATTTGCACTTCAGTGCTCCATGTGGCTTAATGGTAAAGGGTGGTAGGAGATAATAGTCGACGTTGTGCCGATTAAAACATTTAATATTTTGTTTTCGTTTTTTGTAAGCTAATAAAGTTAAGCCCGAGTTAACGCTTGAATTGCAAACTATTACATGTCGAAATTCCGGATACTTTTTACACCAGAATATATATATATATGTATATACATACATACATATACATACATATATGTATATATATATATATATATATATACGTATGTATAAAATGAAATGTCGTTCTAGTTTGACGTAGATATTATGGAAAAATATGAAATAGTTTTACCATAAACGAACATAAACATAAACGAACAAAAACTTTATATATTTTTGTCATATAAAAGCAAAACAGAGAAAAAACAATCAGAAGCTTGAAGTGTAATTGAAATGTGACAAAATAACACCGTGTAACTTATACTGCACAAGAGAGACAAACATGTCATTCATAGGCAATGCAATGCGGTTTAATGATTGAATCGTTAACAAAAAAAAGAAAAAGAAAAAAAAAAACACCAAATAATGAAAAATAGTAAAAACCATACGACAAGATTTTTATCTCATGTTGACTGCTTAAGTCTTTTGTTTATGAGAGATTGATTTTTTCTATTCTAACGGCTTAAGTTTGTTTTTTTTTTTTTTCTGTTTTCTTTGAATAAAGATATTTAACAGTTTCCTGCTACAGAGAAAGGCGTACATAAATTAAAGAGATTTGAAAAAAAAAACACAAAACACAAAACACTTGTGCGCAGCAATAGACCTCCCGACGTCTAAGGTGTATTCATTGTTGTTGGTATTTTAAAATGCTTACAGCTAGTCAGTCAACTAAAAGAGAGGAGTGATAAAAACGTGATTTGTTCCAGTTATTAAATATTCGTCTTCTTTGCATTTTATTATAGCATTTAATGGACGAATTTCTTGCCTATATATATATATATCTGCAACATCGATCAAAGGCAGTTGATTGTGTCATCATTGCAATCTTTAGGCAGTAGTGAGTGTTTTTACGTCTTGTCGTCTTGACGTTGCATAATAAGTAAGCCTTCAGAAGATCAGAACAATAACAACGTCAGCGCTACTATTGAGAAATAATGACAAGTTTTACTTCTGCACTGCGAAAGCACACCATCAGTTAACAGTAACGCTGGCTGGCGTTTTCTACATTTATTCATCTTTACGTTGTAGTTCATAAGTTGGCGAATACAAAAGGGAAACAGTGCTCTTGAGTGCTCTTGAGTGCTCCTAAACGCTAAACGTCTAAAAGGTGCGGTATCATCCATGCCATCCAAGGAATTATGAACGCTTTCATCTAGAAGGAAATTAGATGATGATGAATAATGTTTTGCACACAAAATGAACGGATGCAAATTTTTTCTTTTTACTTATTTTATTTTCTGCATTGCAGCAATTAAAACGGATCATTCATTTATAATGCGAAACAAACACTTAAACTAATCATGAAATGATAAATATTTGTAAACAAAAAAAAAAAAAAAAACGATTTTGTTGGGGGAAAAAAGAAAATGATAAAATTATGTTAATGCATATCAGCATAATCCAAGGTAATGGCGAAAAATCATGTTCACTTTAAATTGATCATTAAATTTAATTATATTATTAAGCGTTCCATTAATAAATATTCATTCATTATTAATCTGGCAATACTTTTTTTTTTTTTTCTATATAGAAAATTGTATTTGCTTAAGTGTTGTAAACTTTCATTTCTCTCTCTCTGTGCGTGCATGTGTGTTCGCTTGTGTGTGTGTGTTTGTATATTTGTGTGTGGGCTTGTGTTTTCATTTATTGCGATTTGTAAAAAAAAAAAACTTGTACACTTTTACTAACCTCAGAGGAGTCGCACTTTAATTGCTTTTAAAACACAAAGCGGCTTAAGGTAGACGCACATAATGATAAACTTAAGATTTTAATTTTTTAATTTTATACTCTACACCTATTACAATTAGGAATCTCATAAAGCCTACATGGTATGTATAAGGCGTGTTCTAAGCTAAACATGTCTCGTTTACAATAGCACATTGGATGTGATTAATAGCTCCCTGGATAGGAAACATATGCATTATCAGCCGGTTTGTGTTGACATTAAACAAATCCAATCGCGTGAAATTAATCAAAAATTCCAAAATGCAATGTTAAAACAATTCGAAAATTTTATTTTCTTATAAAATAATTTATTACTCTCTATTTTTTATTTTAGCAGTATTTTCATTATTAGATAAGACAGTGTGCCCAACTAATTTCAGATATTTGCCATCAATTTCCAAAATTCTTTTTGGTTCCGTCATTCCTTGCCTTGTTATCTATTCAATTAAATTAAGCTCAATAAGAAGAGGCAATCCACACAATATTGACCGTATTAACCCATTCACCGGTACAATTTTATGGTAGCGTGCAACTAGGTTCTACTTATTGACGGGCGTAGAGTTAAAAGTCTATATAAATTTTAGGCGGACATCTTTTACTTATGTAGCAAACTCTACGAATTGCATAAGAGCTCTGGTAACCTGAATCGCCTTTCGAATGCGATTTATTAGGCGAAACATTCATAACTAGTGGCTTCATTTCTAGAGCATCAGTAAGGGAGTCCGACCCTCCCTTATCATCCACACTCCTACTACGAATCGCAGTACGTTTCTCTATACCGCCGACGGGATCCGATTTTTGTGATGCTCTCTGCTTTTAGATCGCCCATAGCTGCAAAATTCGAAAAAGAGGGTTGGACTTTCGCATGGCAAAGCTTAAGTTCGCTTTATGTTATGCAACCGGAAATAAAATCCGTTCTAAAGCGTTCTTCGCCTGTTAGAACACTAAGACAATATTGTTAGAAACGGCTGTGAAACGGAAATTTTTATTGCATTCGAAAAACAAACAACAACAAAGGTTGACTGATTTTGGAGAAAGGCATGAACTTGACCCTTTGTGAACGTACTGCGCCTCACCTTTTCAAAAAGCAGAGACCTAAGAACGTTAAAAGTACCTAAGCGGAGTGCACCAGATTGAAATAAAAAGAGATAAAAAAGAAGTTATCAATTAGTTCGATGTCAAGTTCAAAAGTTATGGCTCATATTTATTGCTAAAATATCGTTCATACCATATTCCATAGTAATTCTTAATCTTTACTCTATCTAACTTTTAGTATTAAAGTCGATGCGGCGCGTATATGCTGCGTGAGTTTTACGATTATGATTAGCTCTTGAAGATTTCTGAGCCTCCTTCTTTTGATAGTTACGCCAAATCTCCTTGTCTTGCCCTTTCTCTTTTGGATCGTTTAAGACATTTTTGTGCATCGGAGCAGACTCCTTTTTCTGAAACGACTTGGATCGAGCTTCCATGTTGCGACGAAACCTAAATTCTTCTGGATTGTCACGAAAACTTACAGATTTGTTTCTTCTTTGATGTTGGTTCGTTTCAGTACGTTTCTGAGTAGTCGATTCATCTCCGTCATTTTCGTTGCCCCTCTCATCTGCGGATTCGTCTACAACATCGGCCAACACATATTTAAAATTGTTCGACTTTTCCCCAAGATTTTCATTTTTCGTGTTTTCATAAGTGTCGTCGTAATCATCGTCATATTCGTTTTCGTTATTTGATACGTGCTCTGGTACCAGACTACATTCCCTGTAACGATCTCTTAAGGCGTTTATATCGGTTTTATCGTCTAATAGCTGTGCAAAATTTTTGGGATCATTAGGAAAACCTTTGCCCCTTTTAATAATACAATTTCGGTTTGTCATATTATCATGCTTATCACCTGATTCTTTGCTGAGCTTGTTTTGAAGATCGGGAGGAATATAAATCTTCGAGGGACATAATTCCGTCAAATCAGGAGGTAAATTACCTTCCAAAAGTGCGCCAATGGTTTCGTCGGCACTACAGTAGCGGCTAAGAACACGCCGAACAAATTCAGCGCCCAAATCAGGAAAACAATCTAAAACCATAACAACCTCAGATTCTATATTCCGTTGCAATAGACCATTGCCATAGCCATTTATTCCATTTGACTTTGTTTCACCACATACAGGTATCTTAGGCCTTTCAGGCATGACGTTCGAAGCTTGTCCGTTAGTATGTGGTTTCTCGCCAATTGCTTTTTGATTCGATTTAACAGTGTCCGAATTTGTTTCTCTTTGATATGCCTTAACCATAATGTCAATTCCAGCTCTTTTCAATCTATCCATGCTTGTACATGCTTGATTCATGATGTCCACATCTAATTGAATCGGATATTGTCGTTGATAATCGTTGACAAAGGCCTGGTCAATTGAACACTCATTTAATGTGGCAATGAACTTTTGGGATGGCAATGAACTACAATGGGGCCTTGCTAAAATGGCATCTATATGAATCCAAACAATAGCTCGAAAGGCTCGCAAAAATTGCATTCTTGCTTGATTTATCCAAATCAAACTTAACGCCCTGGGCTTTACATTATATATATTTTCATATAATTGTCTTAATGTTTTATCGTAAAAATGTGAAATATGCTGAGGAAATTTTTCATCTTCGCATATGAAACGTGCATCCGGACATACATCTAATAAAACACTCAATGTGAAAGAGCAATTCAATGCATATAAGGCAACGTCATCAAAAGGAGTATCCAACATAGCATCTAATGAGGCACCACCTCCTGCTCCTTCGAAACCTTCGTTTTCGGTCTGCGTTTGTATTGAACGAAAAGCCGTTTTCAAGAACTGAAGAGAAACTCTTAAATCATGCTTATATTTAGGTTCCAATCCTAACAATATTGCGAAAATTTTACGCAACAATGCAGTATTTTCAGACGAATTATTACCTACCGCGATAATTAAATCGAATAGCATTGGTGCAGATATCAAATAGTTACCATATATAAGCTCGGCTAAGTCATCGTCTTCTATCCAGCATTCAGCAGACTCTTTACGCGTAAGAATACGTAATATTATGCGAATAATTAAATTCAGTACATCATCATGAAGTCGTTTAACGCTTTCCGAAATATTTACGCTCAAAATATTGACATAAAACGGTACACTGTTTTGCAACATTGAGTTTATGGCGGTGAGGACACCTTTTGTTTGATGAATCATATAAGACCAAAATTCATGGTGCGCTCGATGCAAGATAAATTCCATGTCAAACTTAAATTGTTCGGCTTCGTGAAGCCATTCCTCCAATTCAACTCCATGAATAACGTGTCCTCCACTCGTAATCAAACTGGTAAAATGACCAAAAGCTGAACGAGGTGCAAAAAATTTATCCAATGCCGGGACAATGCGTTTAGTGCCGTATTTGTCAATAACGACAAGATTTAAATTTTTAAGTGACTTCGCCAGAGGATTTTTTACAGGCATTATTAAGAGTATGCCACAATATTTCTAATGCGCGCGTAATAGACAAAGTTAACCTCTATTCTGAATTAAATCTCTCGCCAGTCTTCGCTATTTATAATAATCTCTTCCTCTTAATTCCATTTCAATGCACTATGGACTACGATAATATAGATCATTCACAATAATGTTATCCCAAATGACTGCATTACGTAACACAGAGAGGGTAAACGAAGAACGAAAGTTTTTCTGAATGTTTTTGTCGGCCAAAAAAAATAAAAGCTTTTTCTTTCATAAAAATACAATAATATAGGTAATCGTCAAATTTCATATCGATAATTGGGAACTCGCGATTTATTGAACGAAACATTTTGAAAATATAAGAGAAATGACTGCATTACGTAACACAGATAGGGTAAACGAAGAACGAAAGCTTTTCTGAATGTTTTTTTCGGCCAAAATAAATAAAAGCTTTTTCTTTCGTAAAAATACAATAATATAGGTAATCGTCAAATTTCACATCGATAATTGGGAACTCGCGATTTATTGAACGAAACATTTTGAAAATATAAGAGCATCGAAAAGAAAATTTCTATGAATTCATTTTCCTTGTATACGACAAATCGGGCAGAACGAAAGAAGTGCACACACGCTTCCATTCTAGTCTCGCACATGTTTTTTGGGTAGTAAGCATAGAAGCAAAAGCTAGCACTAAAGATAATGGCGCATAACATTTTATTTGAAGTAATGTGCATCGATATCTGCAAACTACCGACGAGTATTTAAGAGTTGATCTAACCAAAGAAGTATACAAGCACTTGGTAATGTATAGCTCCTTGAATTCTTTGAACCATTTTTTTATAAATCCTAAAAGGGATCTCGTTTTATTAACTGAGTCTTCGATATGTCTTCGATATGTCTATCAAGCTTGAGTTTTGAAGCAAAAATAATTCCCAAGTCCTTAATCGTATATAATAGTCGTAGTTGCAAACATAATTGTCAACAAGATAATAAGAGGGCATCGCATTACATCATGTAAAATATATCTACTTCAAGTGACAAAGTAATGGCACTATCTCGAGGGACAAGTGTTTCTTTTTTCAATGGAGGTCTTAAACGAAAGTACATTAAAGGAAGGAAAAGCTTTAACGTCATTCGCCCGTTAAGAATTTACAATAGGTTGCGTCATCGATTGACCAGGTCTTACCACGAAGGCAAAATCACTGTTCTTCACTTTTTCTTTGCACCATGCCACACACAGGTAATGAATTTTTTTCCACATATCCTAGAAAATCAGTAAAAAAAAATTTTTTAAAGGCACACAGTGTTTTCACTCGTTAAACAATTTAAAAGAAATATTGCTCTTAGGAGGACAATTCATATTCATAAATATTCAACATTATCTCTGTTTTAAATAATCTAATGCTCTAACTGCTTCAAATATAAGGAAGCAAGTAAAAACGCTAGAGTGTGACCGCGGCCTGCCCTCAGATACCCTACGTCATCCTACAATTATTCATGCAACGATTTCTCAAAACAAGACGTTACATGGGACGTGATCGAGTAAGTTGTCCGATCCAAAACATTTTCGATAGCAATCGCCCTTGGACGAGAACACGTCCAAGGTCGGTTTACAAAATTTCGTCGAAAGCTCTCCAAAAATTGATGGGCATACAAGAAAACAAGTCGGGCCGCAAATGGTCAGAAAGTGATTAAGAATAACTCGGTATAATAAAAGGTTAATCGATCTATCTCAAGTCCTTGTTAGTCTTGCATGCATCGATACATTCAACTTAACAAACCTTGCTACGGTACGGTATAGAAAAAATATTGAAGTCATTTCATACATATATTACAGTGGATTTTTTCCTTCTTGGGCGCAAAAAAAAAAACACAAGAGAAAAATGTATATCGAAAAGATTATGTTAGCACTAATTGTTTTAGTGATAAAAATCCAAACACATTTAAGGTGAACGAACATTAAAGTTTGAGAAGGAATATATGTAAATTCATAAATACATACAAATTAAAACGAATCTAGCAACGAATTGACATCCCCAACTAAGATTCGATTCGATGGCTTGACTGGTAGCACGCCTGCTTGTTGAAACGTACTCACAAACCGATATATGGTTTGCTGATGGCGGCTTTTTACTTAAATTTTATGGCTTTACATAAATTCACTGTAAATTATGTGATAATTATTTTTAAATTACGATCATTAGTTGTTGTTGTCTTTTTTTATTGCAGGAAACTTTTTTAAAAGCTGATATCACATATAAACAAACAAGCCGAAAAATAAAAACCATTGGAAAAAAAAAAGTAAAACTATTTTAAACTGTAACGATAGCATTTAATGAACACGTACTTGTGGATAATTGTTAGAGTATTGCCGTTGTATCAATGCATATCTACGTCAGTAGTTAATATGCAAAAAGCAACGAAACACTTTCCCAAAGGGGTTGTTAACAAACCAATAAAGTAGTGGCGAGGGGAAGTACAATAACAATAGGTTTGGTAGAGTCCCCTCACGTCTGCTTGAGAATCAAATTAAGAAAAAAAAAGTGACTCTGATTACTTCTCATAACATTTTTTCATATTTGATTGTGTAAATAACGCCAGCGGCAAGGGTTCGTTTATTTCGAAATCGATATAACAGAAGTACAATAAAAACTGAAACTTTACTTAAGGAGGACCATATTGTAGGGTAACGATAGCTGCGGTTTCCGTTATTACGTGTGCAGATCACAACGATGACAATGAATCGTCCGTTCTTGGAGTTCACACATCCTAATGGCAATTTGAAATATTTGAAATGGCTATTTGAAAATATTTGAAATTCACAAGATATACACATGTACATTTACTTTTCCCTATATCCTCAATGGAAGTATGCATACTAAGTTCGTTGTATTGCTTGAAACATCCGCATAAATATACATATATATACATATTTATAATGAGTGAATATTTAAATACGCAATGCGTACCGTATGACTCCAAGTCCTCGGCGCTCGTTTATCTTCATCGAATGTTGAAAGCCTCTTTAGCAAATACTGAGACAAAAACTCCCACAATTAGTCGATGGTTAAGTCGCAAGGCATCAATATGTGTATAGTAGACCTACACCTTTTACCAAATGAACTAAGCCCCAACTGACCTCAACCGCTAATTTCCCTTGCTCTACTGACAGCGGAAAGTCAATAAAATCTGACATTCAATATTTTGCACTGGCCAGGATACTTAAGGTTGCTTATTACCTCATTTCAACTTTTCGGCATTAATGAAATTAAAAGACTACGTATTCAATTTATGTGTCCGATCCTAAATTAGGCATAGACGAACATAGCAAAGCCGATCGACAGAAATACTATTACATTATACATATATTATATAAGCACATTTTACAAGTTCTGATCTGATGCTTTTCGATATTGACAATGTGATGTTTATTTGTTTGTAGCTTTTTCATAGGAAATGTTTCTTAAATGAATCAAGAATGTTTGATGGGGCTTTCAAATGGGGGCATCACACTATGCTTTCTGATTGACTTCAAATTCCTGACCTTATATCAAATAACAGTATTACCTGATGAAACACGAAAGAAACACTTTTTGGTTCATTGACTCGATTTGATTTTAAAGACGATTTTTGATGGATTCTCTCGAGAACCAAAAAGTTTTTAACTAAGAGCGTCTCCTAAAGAATGCTTTTTTACTGCGTCATCATTTCATTTCTTATGTTAAGTCCATTTATTGAATGCAATTCTCCAACAAACTTCATGGTCTTACGCTTTACTACAACAGCGGAACTCAAGAACCGCAAGCAATAAATTTTTCGGTACTTTTTAACAGCAGCGCTGCTTTGACACGATAGCGACGGCACCTTGCACGAGACGCAACTGTACCAGGGCGTCAACTTCAAGCACTTTCTCGGGCAACCTTTTTAATCACTGGTCTACGTAATTTACGAGCAGTTACCTTTAACACTACAAAATAATGTATTTTTGGATATTGGATAAAACACTGAGGTCTGAAAACTGATCACTTCACGTAATGTTCCGAAGCACCTGAACAGATGTACAAGAAAATATTTTCCAGGACATTTGAATGAACAAAGTCGATAGAGTTGTCCGTAATCTCGTACTCAAGTGGTAGCCTTTTCTCTCAAGTCTTGTCATATTAGTGAGGGTAGGGTAAGGTGCTGCTGCTTCATAATATATTACTAAAATACCGTTATGGGTATGCACCAGTGGCTCGGATTTTACATTCTGATCAGACTGGAGTTCAGCTTCGTATTGTGTGATGTCCGCTTCAGTTACCAATAATAGGCTCTTGGTTGAATACCTTAAAGCTAATTGCGAATAATCAAATGAGAAGAATGCCATAATCATTTTCTACTAACATTTTCGACAACAAACGAACAAGGTTTTTTTAAGGACTTCGCTAATGTAAAGCCCAAGAATTTGTAAAGAATGGATATCTTTCGCGCCATGACAGTTTAGTTGCTAGCTAGACAGTACTGACATGTTAGCTGGAAGCCTATCGCTCTGATAATAATGCAATATAATGCCAGTCTTCAAGCTGGGAGAGGCAGGGCCAGGTGGAGTTTGTATTTAAATAGGTACACAGGCATGCATTCTTTACATGGTATGGGTGTGTGTTAAATAAAGATTCTCCCTTTTTCAAATTGTAGGCTTGAGGTTATAATTATGTTTGTTTATGTATAATTATATAATTATAAACACCATCTTCTTATCATGCTTTATGGTAAGAGATTAATAAGTAAAATATCTATCGTGTACGTAAAGTTAAAAAAATGAATCTATAATGCAATATTTTCTATGCAAACACATGCTGAATAAGTTGCAATTGTGAAAATTGTTAAAAAATTATTATTATTTTTTTTTTTTTTTGTATATGGTTTTCGATAAATAATAAATTAAATAGTGCCGGTTGTAAACAGCTTTTCTACAAGTATTCCGTTTTTCTTTAACGCCACGATTGAAAGGCAAAACACTTTCA